CAGTAACTAACAAAAAAAAAAAAAATCGTATTGTATATTGTGATATATTTAAAGCCCCCTCCTATTGGAATCAAATATTTTCAAATTGCAAAGATTTACCTCGAGATGCGGCCCACGATGCTCATTCACAGTCGCCTCACTCTCCACATAAGGAAGAAGGAATATGGCATCTATGTCATCACCGACATCCACCGGCCCCAATACCCCCGTAGCACCATCGAAGAGGAGCAACTCACCACCTGTCCCTCTAAGGAAACATTTATCCCTCCCCCAAATCCCTAATGGACACTGCACGCCCGACACATCAAAACACCAAACTTTAGTCCATCCACCCTCCGCCCACACCAACACTTCTAACCTCATCATATCCTCCCACATGACTACAACGCCCAGCAACCCGTCATAATTGACAAGACACAGAGGCTGAACCAACAAATTATCGCTGGTGGAGGGCAGGGTCAAGTGGGAGAATGTTTCATCAGCAAAGTCAAAGGAGAGGATGCACATATTCTCACCATTACCGTTGGCCACCCAATGGCAAGCGCCATTGAGACTTAGGTGATTATAGAGAGGGTTTGGAAACATCCCACAACTAGGTTGCGTAACCAACCTCCACGAATTGTTTTTAAGAGAATAAAGCTCGAAATACTTGGTTGTTTCTATGTACGTTTCATCATCATCTTCTTCCGTGAAAGACGCAACCCTAACGACCTTGTAATCCACAGGCCCGGCACCAAGCCCGATACCCGAAAATGCGAATTGCATGCTATAAGCAGAACCCGGACGCGGGGAGAAGGAGGGTGGGAGGGCCATATACTCGTCCGTCAAGGGATTCCAAAAGAAACTCTTGCCCTGACAGAGGGCATCCTCCAATAGGAGAATCCCACCACAGGAGCTGCCAATAACAAAAGGCTCGGTTGTAGCCGTAAAATCTTTCATTTTCCCCAGGGAAAAGTGGCGGCCGCCATTTAAGGAGGATAGTGTCATGAGATAGGACACATAAACATTTTCCTTTGTGTTTCTTCCTACCAGAATAAGTTTATTCCGATCTTCAGCCACTAGCACTGGCCGTTGGACATAATTCTGCTGGCGAACGCAACGAGAAACATAAGAGTTACAAGTATACCTCAACTTGGAGGAGACAGCCTTGGAGAAGATGCCCATATTTTCCAAACTGAATTGAAATTTTGGGGATTTGAAGGTAAAGCCTTAACCTGCAAATACAAAACACAACTCCATTGGAATATTAAACAATACTACCAGAAACAAATAATTTTAGGCTAACAGAAAGAAAGAAAAGAAATATATATACCATTCTAAAAACCATTAGCAAAATCAAACACAAGACTATTTTCAGAACTGAGCCGATATAACTCGATAACATCAGCAAAACCAAATACAAGAGAAACAATTCATCAAATACCTTGACAGCTCAAACAAATGAACAAGATTTTAGCAATCACGCCACAGCCAAATTTGCCACCATCATTAACTAGCAAGACCATTAAAACATCTCTTATCCTAATAATCTACCAAGCCATACTGTTGGAAAGCAAACATAATTCAATAAATTCTGCAACTCAAATCTAACATACCACTGCTTCACAATGATACATAATCCAACTCAACAGAAAGATAAAAGGTCATTTAATTTACAAATCTAACAGCAAAAGCCCCCTATTTCTATGAAACCCTAAAAATAACACTACACAACTAAATGCCAATTACCTAAGAGTCGAAACTAACTAGGGTTTAGTCCTTCAGCCGATAAAGTACCTAAGAGTCGAAACTAAACAGACGGACACAGGTATACGAGAGAATGGTTGGTTTGTATTTTTTTGGTTTTTTGTAATTTGTTGGGTTTTGTTTTTGAGCCTCTACTTTTGCACCTCTTTTACAGATTTGAGCCGCACAGCTTGTTGGTGAAATAATATTAAATATATTTTTTAAAGTTAAATATTTGACTAACCAAATATATTAAGATTATTTTTTAAAGTTAATTGTTGGACTAATGATCATCCTCCCTATATATAATTTCTGAATGCGCTGAGCTTATTTGGCTGCTTCTGATGTTTCGAATCCTACTTGGCGAACAATCATGCTTCGTAATTACGTTCATACAAATAATATTGATATATTAATAATTAATAATCTAGGTTCAAACATTCTATAAATATTATTTAGCTAACTTAGGTATTTTAATAGCACTTGTACTAATATAACTCTTTAATTCTTTGTAATTTTACATAATGAGTCACTAAGTGACTAATATATATATCCCTGACTTTTGATTTAGAAAGAGAAGGACGACCTAGAAGTTGGAGACCGATTCAGTATACCCCTCTAGCGGCCCCACAAGCTAGGATCCTAGAAGTTATGAAGAGGGAAATTCGCGACAATGTGGTGAGATGGCCTAAGACAAGGAATGATGGGCCGACGAGGCCTAAGAGTAACCTATACTGCCGATTCCACAAAGATTACGGACATAACACCGACGATTGTAGGCATCTCAAAGATGAGATAAAAAGGTTGATAAAGGCCGGCCATTTGAAAGAGTTCATATACAAAGTTCGGGAGAGGACGAGTCGAAGGAAAGAAAGGAGTAAGAGTCCTCGCAAGAGGACGAGATCACCGGAGAAAGAGGAGCCTCCCCTGAAAAGGGGAATAATTCACATGATCTTCGGCGGGCCGACGGACGGAGATTCAAACAGAGCAAGGAAAGCATACTCCCGAGGGAAGCACACCAAGGTCGAGGTACACCAAGTGGATGAGGGGGGCCCAGTGATGAATTTCGGGCCGGCGGATGTAGGAGAGGTCGAGAGGCCTCACAATGATGCCCTAATGATAATCGCCCAAGTGTCGGGTTATGAGGTACAAAGGGTTTTTGTCGATACTGGGAGCTCAGTGAATGTATTTTTTTATGATTGCCTCAAGAGGATGGACCTCGACATCGAACTGACACCCTTGCACACGTCTCTTTTTGGGTTCAACGACTCGGAGGTCGCCCCCTTAGGAGAAACCACATTTGCTGTCGTCCTAGGGGAAGGAGACTTGAGAAAGGTGAAGATGATAAGATTCGTGGTGGTCGATGTCGAGTCGGCTTATAATGTGATCCTCGGAAGACCGGCACTGAATGCTTTCCAAGCTGTGGTATCGACTTACCACATGAAGTTGAAGTTTCCAGTCGGAAATCGGGTGGGAGAAGCCCGAGGGATCAGAAACTATCCAGAGCCTGTTACCAGATAGCGGTAAGGTCAAACCAGCGAACAGAGAAGAGTGAAGGAAAGAAACCAGCATCAAACGAGAAGAGGCCAAGGGGAAGCGACCTCGAGTCACATGGAGAGCTGATGGAAATCCAGATAGGGGAGAAAGTGGACCAAACCACCAAGATCGGGGGAGAATTGGAAAATGAGATAAGGAAACAGTTGGTGGAATTGTTGAGAGAATTTAGGGACGTATTCGCTTTCTCTCCCGAGGAGCTAACGGGGATCGATCTGGGGATCACGGAACATAAACTCAATGTCGATCCCCTCAAAAAACCCGTCAAGTAGCGACTCAGGCATCATGGAGCTGAAATAGATAAAGCAATCGAGGTCGAGTTAGAAAAGCTGCTAAAAGCCAAGCACATCAAAGAGATCCAATTCCCCGAATGGATATCCAACACTGTGATGGTGAGAAAGGCATTGGATAAATGGGGCATGTGTATCGACTTTCGCGATTTAAACCTGGCGTGTCCCAAGGATCATTACCCTTTGCCAAGAATCGATCAGCTGGTCGACTCCACAGCTGGTTGCGAGTTGCTAAGCATGATGGATGCATCCCAGGATATCATCAAATCCCACTGGCCCCCGAGGACCAGAGCAAAGTTAGCTTTGTCACGAGCAAAGGGACATATTGTTATGTCGTCATGCCCTTCAGACTCAAAAATGCGGGGGCGACGTACCAAAGATTAATGGATCGAATATTCAAGTCGCAGATTGGGCGCAATATGGAGGTATACGTGGACGACATCCTGGTGAAAAGCAGGTCCTCGACTTTGCACGTAGAGGATTTAAGGGAAACATTCGGGACACTAAGGACATTCGGGATGAAGTTGAACCCGAGCAAGTTGCGCCTTCGGAGTGAGGGCAGGACGATTCCTGGGCTAGATCGTGACGGAAAGGGGTATTGAAGTAAACAAGGACAAGGTACAGGCCATACTCGACATGACCCCGCCGAAGAATGTCAGAGAGGTTCAAGTCTTGACAGGTCGAATTGCTGGTCTAAGCAGGTTCATCGCTCGAGCTGCAGAAAGGGGTTTCCCGTTCTTCAAGTTACTTAAGAAAAGAGCTTTCCAATGGAATGATGAGGCTCAAATGGCATTCGAGAAGCTGAAGGAGTTTTTGAGCGAGCTACCGTTGTTAACAAAGCCAGAGCCGGGTGACGAGTTAATACTCTACATGTTGGTGGGAATATTTTCATTAAGTTCGGTATTACTGCGAGAGGCTGGAGGTTCCCAGCAGCCGATCTGCTATACGAGTCGGGTACTCCAAGGCGCGGAAACGAGATATGCCGAAGTCGAGAAGGCCGCCCTAACATTGGTAATCACCGCCAGAAAATTGAGGCCATATTTCCTGAATCATGTGATAGTGGTAAGGACAAATTTCCAACTCGGAGAGACCTTGGGTCGACCTACCGTTTCAAGTCGACTCGTAAAATGGGCGGTCGAGCTAAGCGAGTATTCCATCAAGTACGAACCGCGAAGAGCTATAAAGGCCCAATCCCTGGCGGACTTCATCCAGGAAGGGACTAAAGGAATAGACAAGAAATGGATAATGCATGTCGACGGGTCCTCGACGGCAAGGGGATCTGGTCTGGGAGTCGTTCTAATATCACCCGAAGGCGAACAACTCGACTTCGCCATCAGAATGGGGTTTAAGGCCTCGAACAACGAAGCAGAATACGAAGCTCTAATTAAGGGGATTCAGCTGGCAATCGGTGGCGGAGCGATGAAATTATGGCACATTCCGACTCACAGCTTGTTGTGGGGCAAGTATTGGGAAATTGCGAAATTAAAGAGGATAGGATGATAAAATATGTCGAGGAAATTCAGAGCGTGGTGCAAGGCTTGGAAAGGTTTGAGCTAACACAAGTGCCTCGAGAAGAAACAAGCGAGCCGATTGGCTCGCAAGAATCGCGAGTTCAAATGAAGGAAAGATGGGGAATCATATTACCACACTGCACTTAGACGTGAGTGTCTTAAGTGAGACAATGGAGGTCGATGAAAAGCAGGATTGGCGAAGAGCGATTCGCGAGTTACTACAAGGTCGAGTACCAGAAGGAGATAAGCAGGGGGCGAAAAAAACAACTAGATATTTGAGTAAATACTGTGAGATCGAAGGAATCTTGTATAAGAAGTCGATGGTCGGACCCCACTTACGATGCGTTTCCAAAGAAGAAGGGGATCATGTCTTAAGGGAGATCCATGAGGGATGTTGCGGAGCGCATATAGGATCGTGAGCCCTAGCTGGAAAAGCCCTTCGAGTAGGCTATTATTGGCCCAAAATCTGGAAAGCAGCCGAACAATTGGTACAAGGATGCGACAGATGCCAGCGCCATGGTCGAATTCCCCACATTCCAGCTGAGGCAATGACGACAATCAACTGTCCAATCCCTTTTGCTCAATGGGGAATTGACTTGGTAGGCCCATTGCCGATGGGAACAGGGCAAAGGAAATTTATGGTGGTCGCCGTCGACTACTTTAGTAAATGGGTGGAGGCGGAGCCTCTGGCAAAAATCATCGAGGACAAAATGATACAATTCCAGTTCAACAATATCTGCTGTCGATTCAGAATCCCAAAGGTTTTAATTTTAGATAATGGAACACAATTCCAAGGAAAGCGAATCCAGACGTGATGTCTCGACATGGGGATTAAGCAGCGATTCGCCTCAGTCGCACATCCGCAGGCGAATGTCCAGGTCGAAGTGACAAACAGAACCATCCTGCAGGGATTGAAGAAAAGATTGTAAAGGGCATCTGGCGCCTGGGTCGACGAGCTGACAACGGTCCTATGGGCCTATAGGACGACCCCGAGAAGTTCAACAGAGAAATCACCATTCTACATGGTTTACGGGATGGACGCTCTATTGCCTATCGAGATTGGTTTGAACTGGCATAGATCGAC